AAAAGTCCAAACAGTGTCTGTGAGTTAAAATGGCCGCTATCCATTGTTCTCACCATGTGCTTCATCCATTGTTATCACCATGTGCCTCTGATACAGGAAATGGTGGCCACCCAGTAACTCCACAGTATGTCCCCAGATGGTTCTTAAAGGGCCAGCAGCAGCACAACACAAATCCCTTATGCCCAAATCATGTCTTGAAAGGGCAATACATTCCAGGGGCCATAGTCACATGGCAGGAGGCTGGCAATCAGTCTTCTCCAATGCCCAGTGGCGAGGTCGGTTTCGCCACACTCGCTCTGACAGCCTTCCGCCTCCCTGCACTTCCTGGTTCTGTGTGAAGTGCAGGGAGCCGGAACAGTGCTGATCCTGCCCCCTGTTAAAAAAAAAAATCCCCCTTTACTCATTTTAATTAAAAATTAACCCCTTCCCTGCCAATTGATCACTGACTACTGATCAATTGGCAGGGATTACATTTTACTGTCATCTGATTTTATTTTTTAACTTTTTTTAACGTTAACCCCTACTTAGCCTAACACCAAATCCCCCAATTCCCCACTAACTTCCACCCACCCCAGCTAGCTAAATATATAATTTTAAAATATTTAAATTAATTAATTAAATTTAACCCCTGAGGGTTAAAAAAAAAAAAAGAATTAACCCTCAGGGGTTAGATTTAATTAATTAATTAATTAATTTCAATATTTTAAAATTATATATTTAGCTAGCTGAGGTGGGTGGAAGTTAGTGGGGAATTGGGGGATTTGGTGTTAGGCTAAGTAGGGGTTAACGTTAAAAAAAGTTTTAAAATAAACTTTAAAAAATAAAAAATTAAGCTAAAAAAAAGTTTTAATAACGTTTAAGTAAGAAATAAAAAACACACCCCCCTTTACCCAGTCCAAATAAACATTAACCCCTTCCCTGCCAGTCGATCACTGCCTACAGTGATCAAAATACAGATCACAGTATTATACTGTGATCTAATTTTTTTTAACCCCTAAAGATTAACTTTTAATTTTTAACCCTCAGGGGTTCAATTTATTTAATTAATTAATTAAAGTATTTTATAATTCTATATTTTGCTAGCTGGGGTGGGTAAAAAAAAGTTTCAAAAAGTAAAAAAATAGATTTAAAAACGCTCATTACCACTACACTTGGAACAAACTAGAGAAAAAATGATCCCATGCTAAGGTTCAAAATATGCCTTTTGAATTACCCCAGGGTGTATTGTTTAATAAATAGTATGTGTTTGTGGGGAAGTTTCAATAACCAACCGTCTAAACTACTCCAAATTGGAACATGGAAACAGCGTAAAACTTAAAAGTTAGAAAAAAACTGAATGGCTGCGTCTCAAACGCGCCCCTTCAACATCCACATATACCTGGCAAAGGTACATACGGTGGTATTGCTGTACTCAGCCGACATAGCTGAGCAACATATGAAGTATTATACACCGGTAGCACACATAAGGTTTGCAAAATATACTGTGCAAACTCACTTTGTGTGTCAAAAAGGCAGAAAAAAACACTTATTACCACTACACTTAGTACAAGCTAGCGGGAAAATGATCCCACGCTAAGGTTCAAAATATACCTTTTGAAATACCCTGGGGTGTCTACTTTAAGAAATGGTAGGCCTTTGTGGGGTAGTTTGAATTTAAACCCTGCTAAGATGCTTGGAAATTGCACATAGGCCCAGCGTCAAAATTCAAAGTTCGGTAAAAACTGATATGGCTTGGTCTCCTATATGGCACTGTAGCTTCACGAAATAGTGCCAAAGACATTCATTGGGGGTGTGTTTTTACTCAGAAGACTTAGCCGAGCATAATTTGGGGGGTTGGAACTTAGTGGCACATGTGAAATATACAAAATGCAATCCATATGTAAAAAAACGCACAAAATAATTTTTTATCACATACTTTAGCATATATTGGTGAAAAAATGGGGGCATGTTAAGGCACAATATGCACCTTAAGAGACACCCTGGAGTGTCTACTTTTACAAATGGTAGGCCTTTGTGGGTTTTTTTTGAACAGTTAAACTGGTATAATACCCCAAATGGAAGCATAGGCCCATTAAATCCGTCTCTCAAAATTCTACAGTGAATAATGAAAAGGACAGGTCTCCTATAAGGCACTGTAGCTTCAAAGACATACAATGGGGATGTCATTTTACTCCTCAGATGTAACTGAACACAAAATAAAACTTTGTACAGGAATAGCACACACCAACTTTACAAAATACAAATGAGAATTTCTTTATAAGTTTGTGTGCCAAAAACCAAAAAAACCCCCACAATTTTACTCCAATATTTAGCAGAGGTTGGCGGTGAAATGGCTACGTAGAAAGTGTCAAAACAACCCTAGGTAAATAGCCTGTGATGTCTACTTTATATAAATATATACTTTTGTGTGGCAATTTTGTTTTCTTTTATGGCTATTAAGCTTACAAGACAAACATACCAAATTCTAAAATCACTCCATATTAAAAATTTATTTTACTCCTTGTGCTTTGTGACCTGTAACTACCAAAAAAAACTTAAAATCCCAGACATATTATATATTCTGTAAATCAGAACAACTAAATTAATTTATTTTTAATTACTTTCCTTAACCCCTTAAGGACGGAGCCAAATATACACGTTGTGAACAAAACAAAATGTAAACAAAACCTGGCATTTGCGCTACATGTCTGTCCATGTCTGTCCAACCGTAATACACCTCTTTCATATTAAATACACCCACCCTTATTATATATAATTTTATTCAGGGGAAACAGGGCTTTTTATTTAATATCAAATATTTAGCTATGAAACATAATTTAATATGAAAAAAATGGGTGAAAATTTTTATTTTTTTAGTTCTACATGACATTTTAACGGTCATAATACTGCTCCAGGAGATGACATTTTAACAGTAATGTCATAATACTGTTTGCTTTTACTGCAATAAAATACACATATTTGTATTCAGCAAAGTCTCACATGTAAAACAGTACCCCCTTTTGTACAGGTTTTAGGGCGTTTTGGGAAGTTACAGGGTCAAATATAGCACATTACATTTGAAATTCGCCAGATAGGTTATGTTGCCTTTGAGACTGTATAGCATCATATATATATAGGGGAGGGTCTGGGAGGGAGGGTCTGCTGCCTATATATAATATATATATATGATCTAAGTATATATATATATATATATATATATATATATATATTTTTACACTTATTTACCTGTCAATACAGCAGGCAGCTATCCCGGCCATGTGATTGTGAGGTCCTCGCAAGGACCTCACTCTCACATTGCCGGGGGGCTTCCAGGGGGTCGGACGTGCCGCGGGGGGCTCCCTTGGAGTCCCCCCAACCGCGATCGGCGGCGACCGGGTAAGTATAGAAACACCGGAGGGCGTACTATTACGCCCAGCGGCGTTTAGAGTCGCCTAAAATAGGACGTAATAGTACGCCCTCTGGTCTTAAGGGGTTAACCTGCACTAATTATGCATAATAAATAAGCATTTATATATATGTGTGTTACATTAAATTAAAGCCCTTTCTGTCCTTTAAAAAACGATATATGTGTGTCGGTGCAATAAATTAGTAAAATGCAAATTGCAGTTGAACGCAAACAATGAAAAAATGCTGTTGTCATTAAGTGAAAGACGAGCTTCTGAAGCTATGTCCTTAAGGGGTTAAAACCTATCTCTCCAGGAAAGCCTATGGCCTCCCAGATTTTCTGTAGTCTTATTTTATTGTAAAATCTCCCCCTTTTATAATATTGTAAATCGCTACAGACACATTCCAGCCAATCAGCAGCAGACCCTCCCACCTCCTGGACAGCATCCATTGTGAAGCTGCATTCTTAGTGAGCTGTCTGGGAGGGAGGGTCTGCTGCTGATTGGCTGGAATGTGTCTGCTGACTGTGAGGTACAGGGTCAAAGTTTACTCAATGATGAGTCCACGGGGAACCGTTCGGGACATCACTAATAATAATGTCTAATTTTCCCCTCCAGAACCTCCATGTGACTCATCCCCCCCACCCGCCCCTTCATGTAATCTTCTGTATCCTCTAACCAGGCTGACAGTAAGTGTTCATTGAGAACAACTAACACCTTCATGTCATCTCTGTTAAAGGACACAGAAAATCCTCTACTCTGCTCTGCCTGGCCACACTACATGGTGTGACTTACCAGGAGAGGAGCACTGTGTTTTGTGCTCCCCTCCTGCCGGTCACCCGGAGATTGTGCCTCCCTGGCCTGTGCACAAGGGAAATCCATACATTATAACCACTTCAATAAGATGAAGCAGTTATGGTGACTACAGTGTCCCTTTACGTAAATACACCCTTAACATTGGTTCCAACCCAAATGAATGTTCTGCGAGCATATTGCACTGCTGTAATTGTGCACAGCAACTATTTAAAAAAAAAAAAAAAAAAGTGGGACAGCTGGCTCCAGGGACATGGATCCTACATCATGTGCAGTTTTGGTAGAAGTGAAACAGCTGGAAAAGTTCTCAAGTGCATATCAGCACTAGGTTTCAGTCAATACAGTCAAATGTAAAGCAGTGACACAGGAATTTATCAGACTAGTCCTTGGATTATTTAAAAAAAAAAAAAAAAAAATGCAATTTTGCAGCATGTTCTAAATAGCCATCGAAACCAATGGAACCCTATGACTGACTCATTATATAAGAATTAGTTCTGAGTCCTATAGCAGGCTGCAAATACCAAGACATTCCCAGGCATATGAAGTGAGTTCCTTTGGGGTCCGCAGTGTGACACTCAAGATGTTGTGTACTACATCTCCCATGATGTATTGCCAGTCCTATGGCTGTAAGAGCATTATGGGAGATGTAGTCCAGCACATATTTTGTGCCGAAGGTTTCCTACCCCCTGTCCCAATATATAACTGCAGGTATAGCCAAAATGTGTATTCCCTCCTCCAGCCCCGGATGTTGTGGGACTACAACTCCCATGGTGTCCGGGCAGCGCAGCTTGTCGCGGGAGAGTGAGTGCAGGCTCTCTATGAGCAGCTCTAAGATGGAGGAGCCTCCATTCCCACGCTCTCTGGGAGTCCATTCCCCGCCCTCCGCCTCCATTACCCGATCGGTCCTCCTCCCGCTGCCCGGAAACACTTCCCCCGAGCCGAGCGGCCGGCCCAATGAGCGCCGAGCAGCCGCCAGCTGGATGTTTGGCACCGCGTACTGGGGGGTCCCCGAGCCTCGCCGTGTCCGGCCGCGGGAGCTAGAGCCCCCCGTGTGAGCGGCGGCCATGGGGGAGCAGAGCCCGGAGCTGTCCGCGCTCGCCATGGAGCAGGAGGGGGGGCTGTGCCCGGAGGACAAGATGCGGAAGTGGTTCTTGGACAAGCGGGAGTCCGGCACCGTGTATGACACCACCACCGTGCTCATCGAGCAGGACCGGCAGCCCGCCTGGGGGGAGGACGACGAAGACGAGGAGGACGACGAGTTCGAGGGCCATGTCGGCTCTAACCTGCCCTACCTGGATGCTGCCAACGAGCAGGGACTCCTACTGCTGCCCGAGCAGGACGCCATGTCCCAGGGCTATGTCCAGCACATCATCTCCCCCGACCAGATACACCTCACCATTAACCCGGGGACCACCCCCATGCCCAGGAACATAGAGGGGGCCACACTCACCCTGCACTCAGAGTGCCCGGAGACCAAGCAGAAGGAGGTGAGTGGAGCTCACACTTCATATCAGTGCCAGTCATCCCCCATGCCAACCAGCCTCCATGCCAGCCTCAGTGCCAGGACAAGCAGCTGGCTGGCATTGCTTCCTCAAATAGGTCATATTATGACTTTAAATACATGATGGCTAAATTATGAGCAATGGCCATGTATTGCCCATTGTTGTGAATGCCAGTCTGTTTTGGCAGGGAAGCTACATTGGTTGGAGTTGCATCAAACCCTCAGTACCCTCAACCTGCCGTAGGTACAGTCAGTGGACAGCTGGAAATAACTAATAGATGTAAAACTTATTGATGAACCATCAGAGGGATTCATAGAAACATGTCTCTTAATGTTTTGTGGTGACTCTGCACCAGCTGTGGAGAGATTATCCTGTAGCAGCAACTCGTGTCATTTTTTTTTTTTTTTAGTGTGAATTGTCTATCGTTTAAGACTTGTTTCAATATTCACTAAAATGTGAATTTTACATTTTAGGCCAAAGTAGATTTGAAAGCATGGATTTTTATTTATTTTTAATTCTGATCTGGTTAATTACTTGTATTGCTTTCTGGGGGAACTTAAAGTGTCTTTCTTTTGGTGATCTTGATAGAATCTTTACAATATATTCATGTTAAATTGGTTGGTCTGTAGAGAATCCTGTAGTCACATGGGATTTTCCATAGACATCTCTGTTGTACTCTGATGGCTCTTGGTGGGGAAAAAGTGCCAGGAGCTTAAAAGGAAATACGGTGGCACCGTAGGGGGTAGCCTTAGGCATTCCAGATGTGGTGGTCCATATTTCCCTAAGTGATGGCAAAGCATCAGGGAAAATGTAGTCCACAACATCTGCCCCAAGGTGACAGTTACTTAATGGGACACTGTAGACGCCATAACCACTTCAACAGATTTAAGTGGTTATGGTACCTGCATCACTCTTAAACACTTTGCTTACAAAATAAGTTGGAATCATGCACTATACCATTTCATATCAGTAATTAGGTAAGTGACTGAGAGAGCTCAACTGGTGCTCTCAGACGAACATTGACCTCTACCCTTGGTATGGTGTGAAGTAGATCACCTCCATGCCTCCACCATATTATTGAAGGTCTGGGCTTCAGGCTGCCGGGGACTGAGAATCTCTACTAAATAGTGAGTAAACCATTGAGTATTTATACAGGACCCAACACTTGCAGACTCCAGGCACAATAATAACTTAAATCAGTTGAACATGTTATAGTGCCTACAGTGTTCCCTTAAAGGACCACTCTAGGCACCCAGACCACTTCAGCTTAATGAAGTGGTCTGGGTGCCAGGTCCAGCTAGGGTTAACCCATTTTTTCATAAACATAGCAGTTTCAGAGAAACTGATATGTTTATGAATGGGTTAAGCCTTTCCTCTAATCCTCTAGTGGCTGTCTCATTGACAGCCACTAGAGGCGCTTGCGTGCTTCTCACTGTGATTTTCACAGTGAGAAGACGCCAGCGTCCATAGGAAAGCATTATGAATGCTTTCCTATGTGACCGGCTGAATGCGCGCGCAGCCAGCGCAGGAGGAAGAGAGCTCCCCACCCAGCGCTGGAAAAAGGTAAGTTTAACCCCTTTCCCCCTTCCAGAGCCGGGCGGGAGGGGGACTCTGAGGGTGGGGGCTCCCTCAGGGCACTATAGTGCCAGGAAAACTAGTATGTTTTCCTGGCACTATAGTGGTCCTTTAAATTAAAGGGATTCTCCAGTGCCAGGAAAACATATTAGTTATCCTGGCACTGCAGGACCCTGTAGTGCCCCCCCATCCTAAGCTGCTGAAAGGGTTAAAACCCCTTCAGTGACTTACTGGAGTTCTGGGCTGATGTCCCTCGGCGCTGGTCAGGCTCATGGGAGACCTAATGCGCATGCTCGGCTTTCCTTGCTGTCCTTCAATGCTTTCCTATGGGTTTTTCGGCGACGCTGGAGGTCCTCACATAACGTGAGGACGTCCAGCGTTGCTTAAAACACTTTCCCTCTAGTGGCTGTCTGATAGACAGCCACTAGAGGAGGACTTAACCCTGCAAGGTAAATATTGTTTATGAAAATTGTTGAACTGTTTATGAAAAAAAGTTTATGAAAACTGCAATAATTACACTTGCAGGGTTAAGGGTAGTGGAAGTTGGCACTCAGTCCACTCCAATGGGCAGAAGTGGTCTGGGTGCTTGGAGTATCCCTTTTAAGTGAATAGTCTTGCAAATCTCCTAATTTAAAAAAAAAAACAGGAGTAACTTCTAAAATATTAGGAAGGAAGAAATGTGGCCTACATTGAAACATACATGATGTGTTTTGTCAAATCCTTAATTTTTAATAAAAAAAAAAAAACTTAATAAAAAATAATTATCCAGCTGCTTTGTTTCAATTCAATTTGAATTTAAAGGGCTTCTTTAACCCTTTGGAGCTGGGGCACCTTTTTGTGTAAAATGCTAAATATGCACATACTTGATTTGGCTGCCCCGAACAGAGTTCTGGCCTGCCAATGTTATGTGTGCTGGGGGTGCAACTAGCAACCATCACACAATTAACAATGCAGAAACACTGCACATCCAGAGTCTTACCACCATGACCACTTTAAATCTGTGAAGTGGTCATGATGGTTGGTTGTAACCCTTAAAGGGACACTATAGGCACTCAGAGCATTTCATTTAACCCTTACTGCTATGTCAAGTCCATAGCTGCTGTACAGGGCAACCTTAAAATTTGGACCTATTTCACAAACATATAAACAGTTTGTGCATTTGCTCTTAGCATGCACCCATATGCTAGAAATTTGGAGGAAAGTCAGCTGTGTGTGTTGCTGCAGAAGGTGGTGTGTATTGCCAAGTAACTGGCAGATAATGTACGACCTTTTGAAATTTTGAGTCCTGTACTTTGATTACAAATATATTTATTTAAAATCATGATATTAATGTTTTCTGTTTATTGGAATTCCCATTAAAAGAGATATAAGAATCTGCTTATGAAAATCACAGTATCTCGTGAGCACATGTCTATAGACATATATTGTTCAGAAGGAATCTCACAAAGAACAAGTTTGTTTTTGTATTCTATACTTGTACAACAACGTCATGGTGGAATTTTTTCAGGAAACAGAAGAGCTTAGCTTAAGTTGTGCCTGCGGCATGTAGAAACTACGCATAAAACTGGGATAAATATTATTATCCAGCTCGAAAACAGTGTGTGACTGGCTGATTTGACAGGGGTTGGAGGTAGAGATACACCTGGGCTAGAAATGTCAAATGCCTCAGATATGACAGCGTTGAAATATGAAACATTTCACAGTCCATATCCTTGCATTATAACCACTTCAGCATGTGGTTGTGTTATCCCCCAGCATATGACCCTGTGTCAGGAGATACTGGTGATTGGTAGGTGGTCTGGTTTATGTATACTATAAATTGGGGTAAGTGCACTGTGTTTTTAAGGGCATTTGTACACTGAGGAAGGGACAGGGGTCCCGAAATGTGTTTTTTTTTTTTTTTCGTATGCTCTTCAGATAAGTGTGGTTCCACAAGTAGGCCTTATCTACTAAGCTGTGCATAGTTACCTCCTGTTTTAGCTGTTGTGGATGTTTGCATGTTTGTTCATCAACAACACCTTTCTCTTCCCTGTGTACTGCACATGCTTTTTTTTACTATGTGATACTGCCCACGCACTTGGATGGCTCAGTGAGGAAATTCCAAGTATTAAGACTGCTTCCTAGTACCATAACCTCTACAGTAAGCTGTAATTCATTGTGATGTTTGGAGTTTAAAAGCACACTTTTTTTTAGTGTTAGGAATACAAAGATTTATTTATAAAACCTTAATTATTCCTCTGTCCACAAATAAAGGTTTGCCTCCGTCGCATGGATTCCTCATAGGAAAACATAGGGGACCGGTACAGTGCACCCAGACAACTTCAATGAGATTAAGTGGTCTGGGTGCCTATAGTGTCCCTTTAACTAATTTAACAATTCTCTACCTTTTACATGTATACATTCTGTACTAAATGCTCACCATAGGCTGTCTCCCAGTAAAAGGCATGGAGTCTTTCAAAAGTAGAACACTGTTCTAATTACCGGTACTTAAAGAACCACTATAGGCACCCAGACCACTTCAGCTCAATAAAGTGGTCTGGGTGCCAGGTCCCTCTAGTTTTAACCCTGCAGCTGTAAACTGTTTACACAAGGGTTAATCCAACCTCTAGTGACTATCTGACAGCCGCTAGAGGTGCTTCTCACTGTGAAAATCGGTGAGGAGATGCTGGACGTCCATAGGAAAGCATTGAGAAATGCTTTCCTATGGACTGTTTGAATGTGAGCCCGGCTATTGCCGCACATGAACATTCGGCTCTGACGTCGGCAGAGAAAGGAGAGTTCCCCAGTGCCGAGGGAGCCCGGTGCTGGAGAAAGGTAAGTGTTCCCCAGCGGGAGTGGGACCCTGAAAATCACAGTGAGCAGCGTGGAAGCGCCTCTAGCGGCTGTCAATGAGACAGCCACTAGAGCCTGGATTAACCCATATGTAAACATAGCAGCTTCTCTGAAACTGCTATGTTTACTGCAGGCAGTGTTTAACCCTAGATGGACCTGGCACTCAGACCACTTCATTAAGCTGAAGTGGTCTGGATGCCTACAGTGGTCCTTTTAAAGGTTTACTTCAAGCACCATAATCACTGCAGCCTGCTGTAATGGTTATGATGCTAGATTCTAGAAGCACCCTGGTGCCTTTCCGGGGCGTGCTAAGCCTTCTCTGATGGCGGCTGCAGAAGTCTAATGCGATCCTGACACTTATTTATTGGCATTTGATATGTTTTCATACCGAAACACTGCGCACACAAGTTTTGGACGCCGTGGTCACTTCCAAACAAGTAGTTGGATTGATAAATGGGGAAGCAATTATTCTCCTTATAACATCAGTAGAGTGGTGTGGTTGATGCATATTAATGATTAGTGTTCATTAAGCAGTATATTATGCTTAGACTGTGCACTTTTTGAATAGTGCTTTTTTTAATGTCTTGTCTCTGTCAATATTACTTTTGTATATCAATTGTTAAAACTCCATTGTATAATTATGAAGTGCTGTAAAAAATGTGGAGCTATAAATGCTAGTATTATCCTGAAAAGAAAAACGGAATTGCTAAGTTCCCCTAGTTGGAATACAGCTGATAAGAAATTTTGAAACCCATCTACTTTATATTTAGTTTAGCAAAAATAAATAGCAGTTCACTTTAATTCACTGTTTAAGGAATGAGTCTCCAAAAGTACCTATGAATGAATATAGTTTGTAGTTCATCCTCTTCTTACTGGTATGATTGTCACAAGTTTATGATTACACCTTAATCACCGCAGAGCAAACAGATTAAGCACACACACAATTGAAACTTTGGAGAAAAATAGTTTGAAGAACCTGCCCTTCATAGTCCTGAACATGTAATGACTGTGCAGTTTATTGCTTTTAGCTGTTACACAACATGTATGGGGGATGGGCAAATGTCAGTCTTTAATGATAAACCAAAATATACACTAGGGAGGTGGGCTTTCTTATATGATGTTTATGAACCGTTAAAGAAATATGTCAATTAAGTAATTTACTATTTAGTTGACTTAACCAGAAAGAAAGTGTGTGTGTGTGTGTGTGTGTATATATATATGTGTGTGTATATGTGTATGTGTGTATATGTATGTATATATATATATATATATACAAACAAAATCCATATTTTGGATTTTATCCAATATTTTGGATTCTGTATTTTGTGTGTGTGTGTGTGTATGTGTATATATATATATATATATATATATATATATATATATATATATATATATATATATATATATATATATATAATTTTTTTTTTTTTTTTTTTATAGAGTATATATGGAGGGGACCCTTGTGAAAGATGCACACCTGCAGCTTTTGCAAGCGGTTCCCTTTATCTCTAGACTTTCAGTCTGTGCCTATGTATTGATCATTCTGAGAAACCAGGTTTTTTATTATTATTAATAAAATGTGTATATGTGTGTGTGTGTGTGTGTGTGTTCAATGTGCAGGTTTAAAAGATGACTGCAACCAGCATGACTACTTCTGCTTTTTTTAAGTGGTCATGATGGTAGGAGTCTGATGTGCAGTGTTTCAGCTTGAAACACTGCACATCCAGAGTTCTTTGGCAGTTCTGTGCCAAGAGCTAGTTGCATACACGACTTAGTAGTTAAGTGTGTTTATATGGGTGTAGCAGCCATACAAGATAAAATCTATTTAGTAAAGAGGAATTTTCTCTTTGGGCATAATGGCCCAAGGCTGTGCTGACATGTAAAAAATTGGGATGTAGTGCGTGTGACTGTGTTTGGATTTTATACATATTTATATATACTGTGTGGGGAGGTTGGGAGTGTGTGTATGTGTGTGTATATCTCTATCTCTATAAAACTTTGTCTCCCCCTTACCTTTTTATCAAGGAGGAGAGACACCGCAGGCCCTGGTGGTATTTAGTAACTCTGCGTGCAGCTGCAGACAGAGTTTGGTCTGGAGTTGCCATGGTAACCTGCGGCAACACTTGCCTGTGGGATTTTATACAGCCAACTGTGGGTTGTCACAACCCAATGATGGGACTTATAAAATCCCACGTGGGCCACATTCATATTGTATTGGACAGCCCTGTGCTAGACAATGATGTTCACAGCGTTTAACCCAAGCTGAGGTCGGAAGTTGAGTCCCACAGCTCAGATGGGAAACATCTGAGTGGCAGTCACAGCTACATCTTTTGGTAAATACAAACTGGTTCCAGGTGTTACATAACAGGTTTTTTGCAACTTGTTGCATAAAATAAAAAGGGACACTATGGTCACCAGAACAACTACAGCTTATTGAATTTGTTCTGGTGAGTAGAATCATTACCTTCAGGCTTTTTGCTGTAAACACTGTCTTTCTGTCTTTTCAGAGAAAATGCAGTGTTTACATTACAGCCTAGTGATAACTTCACTGGCCACTCCTCAGATAGCTGTTAGAGATCCTTCCTGGGTCATGGCTGCCTAAAATGCATCCAAACATTCAGTGTCTCCACCCTCTGCATGCAGACACTGAACTTTCCTCATAGAGATTCATTGATTCAATTCATCTCTATGAGGGGAGGCGGATTGGCCAGGGCTGTGTTTGAATCATGCTGGCTCTGCCCCTGATCTGCCTCTTTGTCAGTCTCAGCCAATCCTATGTGGAAGCACTGTGATTGGATCAGGCCACCACTTCTAATGATGTCAGCAGACAGCTTGCTATTCTGAGGCAAACATCATGCAAAGTTACAGCTTCAGGCTTGAATACGAGTAAGATTTTGCTATATTTAGGGAGGCATGAGGGGACCAAGGTGGCTAGATGGTGGTTTTAACACTATAGGGTGAGGATACATGTTTGTGTTCCTGACTCTATAGTGTTCCTTTTAGGTTTTCAGTTTGAAGTAATGCTGTGCAAAAAAAACAAAACCTTGGTCCTGCTTAGTCTTCACTAAATATCTACTCTTCCTATTGTCATTCCCTTGTGGAATGCCATTTTTTTTAAAAAAAAACATATATATATATATATATATATATATATATATATATATATATATATATATATATATATATATATATATATATATATATATATATATATTAATATTACACACACACACACTTCCTCTTTATAACTTTTTTTTTAAAAAAAATTTAATTTGGGGGGGGGTTTTTTGCGGATGTTTATCTTTCTCGATGGTTTCAGTATATTTCAGAAGCAATAATTTCCTATTACTAACTACTCCAACCGGCTGAGGTATAGTGTAAATGTTTTTGATTTAAATCATGGTGAATATATCTATCTCTATCTCTTTCCAAAGATGTAGCAGCACTCACGGAGTTAAAAAATCAACGTTTTAGTCCTATGTCCAGGACTTTCATCAGAATCAATACTGCATTGTTCCTGATGAAAGTCCTGGACATAGGACTGAAACGTTGATTGTGATTTTAACAATTTAAAATAAAGATTGGATTTTTTTAACTCTGTGAGTGCTGCTACCTTTTTGGATACGTGGATACCAGAGCCCTGGCTATTTAGCATCTGGCAATTAAGGGACATTTAAGCGTTTGTTTTGTGTGTGTGTGTGTGTGTGTATGTATATGTATATATAAAATATATAATTTATTTCAGACCTATTCCCATATTTAATATCTCATGTCTTACTCCAGTGATGGTGGCAGTCTCTCATTTTACCTAAAGCGACACTATAGTCACCAGAACAACCACAGCTTATGTAGTTGTGCTGGTGAGTATAGTCTGTCCCTGCAGGCTTTTTTCAGATAAAAGGCAATGTTTACATTACAGCCAAGGGATAACACCACTGGTCACTCCTGGAGATAGCTACTAGAGGTGCTTCTTGTGGGAGTGGCAGGGGGGACTAGGTAGGGGTTTTAACACTATAGGGTTAGGAATACATGTTTTTGTTCCTGACCCTATAGTGTTCCTTTAAGTGTGGCACTTATAGTCCTGACAATTTTAATTAGAATTCAAGCTCATTGATCTTTGTTTTTGAATGTATCAAAGGACTTTGAAACATGTGGCTTACATTGGCATTTTACCATTGTGCTATGCTTACATTCATCCATGGCTGAATTTCATGTAACACTGCTCTAGAGATTTTATATCAAAGTTTAGTTTTTTTTTCTTTCATTTGTTCTTTATTATTTATTAGTTACAGATATTTTTTGTATCTTCTATCTGTATTTTTATAATAACCCCCTAAGGACACATGACATGTGTGACATGTCATGATTCCCTTTTATTCCAGAAGTTTGGTCCCAAACCAAACATGTAAATAAACAATTTTTAATTTAATTTTTTTTTAAATTAAAAAAAAAAAGCTCACTCTAAGCATTACAACAAGTCTGTTTGATTGCAAAGGAGATGCTGCACCAGCTCTCTGTTCTGAGAGTGGATAAGAATTGCAATTAGTTTTGTCCAAGTTGCATACATAACTTGGACTAAGCTCCCCCCCACCCTAGAAGAAACTGAGCTCAGCCAGTCTGTGCTTATAGCCAACTTACTAAACCGTGAACTAGACTATGTGTAAATGCAGCAAAGGGTGGCTGTTAATCAGTTTTACAGAGTAGTTACTCCTATGTGATGAGTGGAATTGCTCATTAGGGATGATCTACTTTCATAAACTTCAGCTTGCTAGGAGTTTATGGAATGAGTCTGCCTGTAGCTTTAGATAGACGCATGGTACCACCCAAACAATGTTACACAAGGGTTACTCCAATAACCACTTTTTAGTAATTGAAAGTCTGCAGTGGCTCTCTGACAGCTATTGGAAGTATCCTTTAGTGACAGATGTAAACCCTTTAACAAATGGCCTTTTTTTGCACTTAAACTTCAGTAAAGATGTAGACATTTTGGTGCTTAGTGTACCTTTTAACATGCAAATAATTATTTTCTATTCTTTAACTATTCTGAAGTGACAGCCATTTTAACTGTTAAATCCTAGCCTGGTTTTGCTCGTTCTTCAGAAGAGCTTTTGCACGTCCCACGCAGTGTTGAAAAATTTAATTGTTGGATTGTAATACATCTAAAGAGTGGCCATTAATGAACTGATAAGTCCCATATATTTTCACCAATAAAGTACCAGCACATTATGAAGCGCTGTACAATTAATTACTAATTGTTTTGTTATGCTTCAGGTAAAGCGATACCAGTGTACATTTGAGGGCTGTCCACGGACCTACAGCACGGCAGGAAACTTGCGCACTCATCAGAAAACGCACAGAGGAGAATACACTTTTGTCTGTAACCAGGAGGGGTGTGGGAAAGCCTTCTTGACCTCATATAGCCTCAAAATCCATGTACGTGTGCACACCAAGGAGAAGCCGTTTGAATGTGATGTACAGGGGTGTGAGAAAGCATTTAACACCTTGTACAGGTGAGTTTACTCCAAGACTGTATTCTCACTCTTCATTCGTTGGAGCAGTTCATTTTGGAGCATAAAAATTAAATATTAACCGTAACCAGCAAACATAATTGTCTATGGCTTGAAGACATTACATATAAACTCGTGATCAATACATTGCTTGTTGAAGAGAAGCATTTGGAAGCAGGGCACGTGTAGCAAAGCTTCTCATAGAGAAGCATTGCCTGGGGCTAATTGCAGTTAGAGCGCAATCCTAGCTGTCGACATAGGGAACACTCTGTTAATCACTAATGCACTTCAGCAAGCTGCAATGATTGACTTATTGACTGAGAGTGTCAGCTGGTTGCTTTCATCTGATGAGGTAAGCTATGATTGCATAGCTTATCTCAAGTAAGCAAACACAAGATCCTCCTTGGTAACCTCAGGCTCTCCAGTGATGGTAGTGGAAGCAGGGAGAGGCACCTGGCAGACCCCAGGAAAGAAGTAAAGACTTTCAAAAACTTTTGACTCAATGCAATGGGGGGGGAGGGGCTGCTAGAGCACTTCTGACACACCAACTACTACAGCAAACTGTAGTATGGTTCTTGGAGTGTTCCTTTAATTGTCTGCTTGATTGGAATTGGAAACAAAGATGTGCAAACCATGAACTGGATTTTATATTAGAATCCCCAAATTGCGTCAAAATTATACAGTCATGCTATTATTGCTCAAGTCATTATTTGTCAGTGATGGGCATAGAGCTGGTCAGAAGTTTATAGTAAAAATAATAATTTTGTAATCATCATTGTGCTAGGAAGATGCCTGATAACTTTTTTCTTATTTTCCTGTGTACCAATGTCCTCCATCTTTCCACTGATATCATATGTCATAGAATCACTAGTTATTGGTAGTCTATGAAATATGACTAGAACTAATGTTACTGCATTAAAAGTAACCAAATTTGAGTCAAAAAGAAGTATATAGATAGCCCACATTTTATATGAAATTTAAAACTTCAGTGGAGTAAAGTGAAGAAGAGTATACTACCCTCTTATACACTTAAAGGACCACTATAGACACCCAGACCACTTCAGCTTAATGAGGTGGTCTGGTTGCCTGGTCCAGCTAGGGTTAACCCATTTTTTCATAAACATAGCAGTTTCAGAGGAACTGATATGTTTATGTTAGGGTTAATCCAGCCTCTAGTGGCTATCTCATTGACAGCCGCTAGAGGGCTTCCACGTTTCTCACTGTGAAAATCACAGTGAGAAGACACCAGCGTCCATAGGAAAGCATTGATAATGCTTTCCTATGGACTGGCTGAATGCGTGCGCAGCTCCTGCCGCGCATGCGCATTCAGCCGGAGAGGAGGAGGAGAGCTCCCCGCCCAGCGCTGGAGAAAGAGGTAAGTTTAACCCCTTCCTCTCCCCAGAGCCCGGCGGAAGGGGGACCCTGAGGGTGGGGGCACCCTCAGGGCACTATAGTGCCAGGAAAACATGCATTCCTGACCATATAGTGTTAAAACCACCATCTGGACCCCCTAAATATAGTAAAATCTTACTTGTATTCAAATCTGCAGCTGCTGGCTCTGTCCCTGTCTGCCTCTGAACTGCAGAAGTCAAACACAGGCCTGGCCAATTGGCATCTCCTCATAGAGATGAATTGAATCAATATGTTGTGATGCACACTAGACAGGACTGCCCCAGGAAGCACCTCTAGCAGCCATCTGAGGAGTGGTCAGTGAAGATATCACTAGGCTGTAATATAAACTCTGCATTTTCTTTGAAAAGACAGTGTTGACAACAAAATGCCTGAAGGGAGCTATTCTACTCACCAGAACAAATTCAATAAGCTGTAGCTTTTCTAGTGACTATAGTGTCCAATTAAATCTGTAGAAATCTCAAGATTCCTCCAAGTCTACATTCTCCAAAAGAAAATCTACACACCTAAAAATACAAAAAGAGTGGCACTGTATCAATATCAAGTTTATTAAATCTTTAGGTAGCAGTCACAGAGCTAGAAAATTCTAGGTGTATTTCCCACAATGTGGAATATATCCATTAGGAATATATAAAAACAAATGAAAATATTAAAATCCAATAATGTGCTTTAGCTTCCCAATGAATTTCGTCTGCACTGCCCTGACTTCTTTGCGCCCTTATAATGCCCATTTTTGCCGATTTTATTAGGCCAATAGGAATAGGCGCAATGGTGTCCTTGTCATTTAACCAATGTGAAGGCATCAGCTTATTTACATTCTGTCACTTCCGTATTTTAATCCTGGTTTCAATTCCCGTTAAGGAATCTAATGCCATGCATTCCAAGGAACTGAGGCTTCTGTCATGTACTCCATGAACTTGGAACTAGATGAGACGTTTGCATTCTACATCTCTCATTGTTCTATGGGTTCACATACTGTCCACATAATCGTCTTAGTCACAAAAAACTACTCAAAAAAGAAAATGTGCTGAAAATGATGTAATACTTTATATGCATGCTGTTTTTTTGTTTTTGTTTTTTTTTGTATTGTAGATTTCCTTTTTTTTTTTTAGTTTATTTTGGTGAATTTCAAAAGCAGTTGAATCTTATTGTTATTAAACTGTATAAACACCATAACTACTCCACACATTTGAGCAGTTATGGTGCTAGGTGGGCCCTGGTGACCACCCCTCTCCCTTTGTAAGTAGTGAAACTGTTTAATCACTTGATTTCTTACCTGAAGTCTGTTGGGCACTGCTCCTTGTTCCTTCATGACATCCTTCTATCAGCTATATGCTGTCAGCCAATGAACTAGCCCTCATGGCTTTCCTGAAAAAGAGAAGGCATGGAGCGGCGCCTGATGGGCCCCAGGAAAAATGTCAAACCTTGAGTAAACATTTTGACTGCTTACCATGAGTGGAATGCAAGAGCACAGTTTTGGTGCTTTGGCGTGTTCTTACAAAGGGGAGCTGTCACTTACAATGATTTTTAATTGTATGTTTGATTTTATCTCTATATTTAACAAATATGTATTGTTGACATGTTACAAATAAACCTAGATCTCTAACCCTCTTTATTCTGCCTCTCGGTATCCTCTTAACTACCTTTCAATTATTGCTGTAAACTCTGTCCTATTCACCAGGCAGTCATAAAGATTAGTGTATCCCAACCTTTTACGGAGAAGTACCCCATGGGCGTCCGCAGGAATTTTTCAGGGGGGGTGCATAATTGAAATGACATCCATGCTTGGCCCGTTTTTGACAGTGTCATGAAGGGGAGGGGAATAGTCATTATCACATAAAGCCAATAGCATTTTCACAACTATGGTGTCAGGAATGCATGTTTGTATTCCTGGCACTATTGTGTTCCTTTAAGCAAATTAAAGGAACATTCTGGTCACCATAACAACTTCATCTAAATGAAAATGCTATGATGCCAGGAAGCCCCTGGGTGTTCTCTTTCCTTTAAGGGGTGAAACTGCTCTCAAATGGTTTAACCCCAAAGGCTTGCTCCAGGTCGCTCAGTGGTATTCGGCTTCTGAAACGGAGTGTCAGGTAGTGCAGGTTGACGTCAGGTATGGGTGGGTATTCTTGCCCCCTGCAGACCCTTCCTGCTCATTCTGCTCATTCTACTTTACCTTTCTGTAGGCTGTCCACCCCCCATGCCTTACTTACCTGATCTGTAGGCTGCCCACCCCCACGCCTCACTTAACTGATCTGTAGGCTGACGTCCCTTGCGCACCCCCTCTCCCCCGCAGACACCCATGAAGTACCTCTGCAAAAAAAAGTCTGCCTCGAGAAAGTAGTTTCTATTTTTTTTTTTTTTTTTTTATTCCAAATAAAATGTGTAGACATTGTAGAAGTTAATCCCATATTGGAGAACAAGTCTGATTGTAGGTAGTAAAGAATATTTTTAAAGTGACGTATCAATATTGTGTATGTAAGGAGGGAGTGTGTGAAGTATAAAAGTCAGAAAATGAAAATATATACATAATAGTTACACACAGGACACTGAAGCACAGTGGACACTGACACACACACACACACAGCATTGCACACGGACACTTGCTGATTTGACACACACATTCATTGACAGATACACATTCACTGGCAAACACGTACACATTCTCTCACACACTCACAAATTATTTTTATTAAATCCACCCAGGCCCCCTACTTTTGGGAGAGCTGGAGTGGATCCTTTCCCTCGTGTCCAGTGTGGGGCTTGTATAATCTTTGTGTGCTGTTTAGTGATGCTGAGGCCAGAGGGACACCATAACCTGGTTCCTGGCATCACCATAGGAAACACAAGGGAGCAGGGCTGCAAGATCATGAAGATTACTGCTCACTCACTGTATACCCCTGCCTGTGGTGCACTAGATTAAGAATTTGGTTGTAGAGTAAACCTACAGAGAATAGGAGAAATTAAATTATGTTTCTAATTATGTTCTGCAATCTTTACCTTGTCCGAACTGGATTGTGATGCAATTTGCCAAATCTTTAAATTGAAAAGACAACAGAGCATCTCATGGAAAAAAAAAAGGTTAACACATGTTCTAAGTGATTATCCGTGTTTTATTTAATGGTGTCATTTCTAGAGAAATGATCATTCCTCCTGAAATGTTATGGTACAGAGTGTTACAGTAGATGTGACACACAGTAAGTTTTTATTTAACAAGAGATTGTGGATAATTTTTAAAAGAATTAAAATTTTAGGCTAAAATAAACACAGGAAAAATTCTGCCATTTTGTTAGCTTAGCTATTTTGTCATAATATTTGCTACTAGGTTTTAAAGGACCACTCTAGGCACCCAGACCACTTCAGCTTAATGAAGTGGTCTGGGTGCCAGGTCCTTCTAGGGTTAACCCATTTTTTCATAATTATAGCAGTTTCAGAGAAACTGCCATAATTATGAATGGGTTAAGCCTTCCCCCTAATCCTCTAGTGGCTGTCTCATTGACAGCCACTAGAGGCGCTTGCGTGCTTCTCACTGTGATTTTCACAGTGAGAGCACGCCAGCGTCCATAGGAAAGCATTATGAATGCTTTCCTATGTGACGGCTGAATGCGCGCAGCTCTTGCCGCGCGTGCGCATTCAGCCGGCGGGGCTTAACGGAGGCGGAGAGGAGGAGGAGAGCTCTCCGCCCAGCACTGGAAAAAGGTAAGTTATTACCCCTTTCCCCTTTCCAGAGCTGGGCGGGAGGGGGTCCCTGAGGGTGGGGGCACCCTCAGGGCACTATAGTGCCAGGAAAACGAGTATGTTTTCCTGGCACTATAGTGGTCCTTTAAGGTTTTGTAACCCATATATGTCCGCTGTATGCAAATTAATACATTATGCAATGTAAGCATTAACATTACCTTTTATGTGCAGGTTGAGAGCACATCAACGACTTCACACTGGTGAAACCTTTAACTGTGTAACTGAGGGCTGCAGCAAATACTTCACCACGCATAGCGATCTGCGAAAGCACATCCGGACTCACACCCGGGAGAAGCCTTTTAGGTGAGTCTTATCCTACGGATTACCGTACTTTTTTAAAGGAAGGTAAGATGTAGAAAGTTATTTCATTTACACAGGCGAAAAAAAAAACACTGGACTTGCCTTTTTCACTCATTTTTTCTGAAATGGGGGCTATGAAAGTCAGAGAGTTCTCAGTGGTGCCCAGTGGCAGGAAGTATAGGGGCTATCAGACACTGTCTTTCAGAGTTTGGGATAATATATTAAATCACTCTTACCATTTTATTAATGCAGTCACCTATTTGTATCTGTAGTTTTGTTACTGCTGGTTGTAATTTCTTTTTGTCTTTCATGAAAATGCAGGTGTGACCATGATGGTTGTGGCAAGGCGTTTGCAGCAAGCCATCACCTTAAAACGCATGTTAGGAAACATATGAGTAAGCAAAACCCCATACAAATGATTTGGCTTGTAGTAATGGTTGGTTTCAAAACATCAGGATGGTATATTTAAATTGTCGTTTTTTTTGTTTGTTTTTTTTTTAAAGGCGAAAGGCCATTTTACTGCATAAGTGATGGCACCCAGCAAGAATCACAGAGCCACATGAAAAGTCATGACCTTGCTGGTTTGGAAGACTCATTCCCTAACCATGCCGGATGTGAGGTAAAGCAATATATATTAAAAACAAGGCTTACAATTTCCACTCAACTCTCAAAATGAGTGATATATTTGTAGAACCATTTTCCATTAGTTGATTGGACAAATTAGTGCTGTTACAGTTGTGGAGCATAACTGGTATGTGCTGTCTCCTTGCTCTCATGCCCACCACCTTTAACACTGCTTCCAGTATTATAACACTCCCCCTAAGCTGTGAGGGAAAAGAAAGATAGGAGCAGGGTAAGCATACACCTGGCATTTTGCTTGTTGCCTTTATGAGGTGTCTGTGGCCAATACATATTTTTTCAATTGGTGACTCTTCCTGCAAAGTGCTCGGCTGTAGGCTTTGGTTTCACTTTTCTAAAAACTTCAGATATTGAAGTCAATATACCTCCAAGTAGTTCTATTGGAGTCTGAAAAACAATTTAATCTGGAGCACAGAAGCAGGCTTGAAAAGTGAATTGAATCCACAGCAGCAGTTAGAGGGATATGGCGATATGGGCAGTATCTCTAGTTTAATTCTGAAAGACCACTAATTTCCACATTTGTGTCTGCATTTATGAGCATGTATCACTGTAAATGTGCATCTGCCATTGAGTGTGTATTCGTATTTTATTTACATGACTGTATCTGGGTATGTTGGTGTGCATCTTTAAGTATGTCTACAGGTTTGACTTGTATCAGTCTGTATGTGCATCTCAAATGGTTTTCTGTGACCGTCTACCTGCTTGTGTTTATCTCTGTGGCTACGTACCCCTGTGTATCTATGTTTGTGTGTATTTGTAGGTCTGTGAGTTTGTGGTTTTTGTTTAGTTTTTTTAGTATATTTTGTATCTTGGCGCTTCTGCGTATTAATGCCCCTGTGTGGCTGGGAGTATAAAGCCTGAGAGTTTTGTTTTTTCCAGTTAAAGTTTCCAATATTGTTGACTCAACATCTAAGTCTTGTAAATGAGTTTACACTGCCGTTGATTTATTTTTCGTTGTGGTGTTTGAAAGGTTGTATATAAAATGGCTGCATTTGCAGATTCAACAGCAAAGTCATCCACGGTAATATTTTATGTGTGTTTGTTGGACTGAGTGTCTGAGTTTGTCGCTATGTTTGTCATTGTCTGCATGGCTGAGTGAGGTATGTGTAACATTGCATACATTTGGCCAATTGCTTTTAAGTAAATTCTATTGCTTCCAAGCAGCCCATGGTGGGGAGGAAAAAAAAACAAAAACGAGTAGCACACTCCATTTTAAAAAAAACATGATTTTTTTTTTTTTTTTTTTTAAATTGTGCATTTGAGGTGGCGAGTGACATAGTTGGACACTTTTTAGATGTCTTACAATTTACTAGACTTTTCCCCCCCCCAGTATTGTGGTCTTTATTGTTTTAAATAAAGTTACATATATGCAGGGCTTATAAATAAATATACATGCATGCTGTCGCAAAACAAGGATTTTCAATTCTAACTAGGGGGACTACACTTTGGCCAATCATGTCAAGTACCTTATTTATTTTTATAAACTTTATTATTGGCGATTTTTGTCTATTTTGATGTGTGGTCGCAGTTTTGTTTTTGCTTTTTCCCCCTTACACTCTTGTTTGCGGTTTTGTATCCCTATTTAAAAATTGTCATCAAACTATGATATCCCTTAAAACAAGCTAATGAAAATTATATTTGTTACTTTTCAAACAGGATGCAAGTCCCTGGTTTTGTTTGAGTGATTTAAGCATTTTGTCTACTGATTCTGATCTGCGAGAAAACTCTGATACTGTAAGTAGCAAAATAAGTGTGAGCACTACACAGATAAATTGAATACTCTTTTGATATTGTGACTGTTGGGAGTCAAGTACATCGGAGTATGAAATCAGTCAATTGCGGTCTGTAATTGAACATGAGACTAACCACTCAATCACACATACTTGATAGAGTAAACCTGATTAGTGATGTCCCGAACGGTTCGTTGCGGACTCCAGTCAGCTGACACATTCCAGCCAATCAGCAGCAGACCCTCCCTCCCAGACCCACCCACCTCTTGGACAGCATCCATTTTGAAGCTGCATTCTTAGTGAGCTGTCCAGGAGGTGGGAGGGTCTTCTGCTGATCGTCTGGAATGTGTCAGCTGACTGGAGTCCGTGGCGAAGGCGAACAGTTCGCGAACCGTTCGGTGAACAGTTCGGGACATCACTAAACCTGATTTCCTAATTTCATTTACTTTACTGCGATTGTGAGCCACCATTGCGCTATTTCACTTATACTTTTAATCCAGTTTGTCCCCATGAGGTTCTCAATCTTCTTCCTTAACACTATTTACAATAGACAATGTTTTGGGTGACACATTTGTTGTAATGCAAATTGATATAAAAAAAATTTCTTATCAATTTCAGAGTTCAGGACAAACATTTGGTACAATGTTACCACAAAGTATTTTTGAGTCTATGTTTCAGAGCCCAGAAAGCACAGAAGATCACGATCCTTCTGATCCTAAAGGTATGTGTCAATCCAGTTTGCAGTTATTGGAATAAAAATGCAAAAACATAAAACACAAAAATTGGATCTATACAAAAGTATAAGTTGGCATTAAATATTTGCATAACCTGCAGGCAGTTTCTCTAAATTATGTGATGTAGTTATGTGTGTTTATATCTCAAATTGCTAACAGGATTCTCTAAATGTACCCTAAATGACAACTGTATACACCGCAATGTAAAGTAAAGTCTTCATATTTTGTTGTCTGTTTTATTTTGTTTATAAATTACTTGTCAAATATTTCCATTCAATAATTGTAAAGTACTGCGGAATATGTTGGTGCTATATAAATACTACTAATAATTTAAGTACGAACATTGGGAGTACCATGCATATATCCGCTTTTTATGGTAACTTGCTTTTCCTAGTGACTGACATTCCTACCTGCAAAGCAGACATAATCTGAATCACAGCTCGTGAACCTAAATGTCCCACATAAGGCCAAAACTAATTCTAAGGGACGTCTATCTCAAGGTAGAGTTTCCAACTTTAGAGCCCAACAGGTGATATTACAAACTGATCTAAAGGGTTGTGCTAAGAACAAATTCTCTTGGTTTAGCTGAATTAGCATACAGTATTTTAGAACGAATATCCTTCCGAAATTACTATGTTTATTCCAAAGGAATCCCAATTCATATTCCTTGCTTATTCTTTTCTGAACCATGTCAGGTAATTGTACGCATCATTTGGTTCAAACCCAGTATGATAAAATGCCATATGCTCATATTTGGTTTACTTAATTTGATCTGCAATTTTATTACCATGCAGCTCTTTGTGAGAGTGGTAGACTGGATAAGGTTGTTTGTTGAGAATTTGGTGGTAGAACAGTCATCCACCCACAAACTTCCATTTCTCTACTTACCTTAAAGCGGCAATGTCATGCTGAACTTACTTTTCTTTAATCCATTCCTCTTCTTTTCCTCTGTCAGGATCTGTTAATTTCTTCCTGTCTGCTCTAGTTATCTTTAAAACATAAGACAAAGTAGGGACTACTTTGTCTTATGGAGGTTTCCTACGCTTGACCAGCGGAGGAACAAAGTGTGCTCAGTTTCCTGTGGTCAAATCAATTTTCCCACAATTCTCACCTTTCCTCCGTGTTCCCGCGAAGCCCCCTTTAACTTTTCCCGAGCGTCCTGTCACTTAGACAGAACGCCAGCGAAACTACCGAATTTCATCCCAACAGAATGAGAACAGTTTCTCCATTCGTTTTCGGATGCAGTTCGGGACTTTGTTCAGATCGGAATTTTATTCAAATGAATGAAACTCCGATCCTATTTGTGCATTTTGCAGCTGCTTAGTAGATGGCTACCTAATTCCCACTGTATTAGAGAGATCTACCAAAAGGCTGAAAGACCTAAATTGATCTTTCAGCCAAATGTACTAAGTAAAGATTACTTAGTATTAGTAAATTCTGCCCCTACTCGCTATGCTGTTAGTAGGGGCATGTCTACTAAACAGTGAGTGCCGCACGAGTGGGGGCTATTAAACTGAGCGGCGGGTGGGGGTCCTAAATGAAAATGGGGGGGATCTATTGTCCTGTCCCAGCCATGAGAGGTGGGTGGGGGCGGACCTATGTGTGTTCCTCCTCCCCCCGCCCGTCCTCTCTCGTGCGGCAATTGGGGCCCCTAGTCGCCCCCCCCACCCCAAATTTTTTTTAATAAACCCTTACCTCTACCCCCTTTCACCCTAAAAATAGTGAGGGAGGAACAAGAGAACTAAATACCTGTAAATAAATAAAACGTACCATTTGATGTCGTCTTTTTTCTAAAATCTTCTTTTTTAAGCCCCAAAAACCCCCAAAACAGTCTAACTTTTCAAATAAAATAAAAACCCGAGCGCAAAACAAATCCGAAAGTGCTGTCATTTTACACAGCATGGGAATTTTTTTGGGAATTTTCCCATGCTGTGTAATTTGACTCAGAACTCTGGTTGATTGAAAGCAACCAATTAAGACCCCTTTCACCTTCAATCCTGTCAAGTTCTAGTTGATAGCACTTAATTATTTTTGTTTAGCTATATTTGGGTTCAAGCCCACATTTAGGATTGATTGTTCAGTGACTTCCTCTTTTTCCACAATCTCTTCCCCTGCCTTCAGAAGAGGGTTTATGGATCTATTCTCTCATTTGTGTCCTTTATTACATGGATAGCAATAACTAAGCATGCTCCTTTAATCCACTTTTTAGAAAGGTAAAATACCATACTTTGAAACCATACTTACATGGGAAAAAACTAAACCATCTATAGAAAGTAAATGGTGCTATTGTGATATTTATTATATTAATGTGCAACTTTAATTAAAAAATTTTTGTTTGTTTGTTTTTTACCCAGATGCACTGCAAAAAACATGGGCATCAGACACAAAAACAAGCTCTCCAGGAGAGGGTTCCTCAACAGAAACTGCACCAACAGTGGTTCCTTTGGTTAGCCAATCTCTCACCCCTGTGGTTCCCCTTCCAAGTTCAGCTTGCACGACCACCTCTGAAGTGCATCTGCCATCTGCTGCGATGGAGTGTGGAACTCAGCAGGCATCCACAATGCCGTTATCTGTGACACAACCACTGGAAGTGCCTGTTTGTAATGGTGTTCATTTTGCCACTAGTCAGGAAAACATGCCTGCATCACAGACTTCACAGCCATTGATGGAAGGTTTGACTGTTGTTGCAGGTCCTTCGCTAGCTGCAGGGGTTAGTTCAGAATCAGTGTTGCCGACACTGATACGTGCTGCAGTCTCAAGCTCAAACACAGTGTTGACTGGTAACCCAGCAATAACCATTACACAGACTCCTAGTACTGCCACTCTCCTGCCACCCAATCTAGTTGTGGGTGACCAGAACATTCAGTGGATATTAAATGAAGCCGCACAAAGCCAGGATAAATCTGTGAGTACTCTGCTGTGATGTCTTGTTTCTTGGTGCTATGCTCTACACAGATAGATTAAATGATGTGTGTATGTGTTATATCACCTAACTAGGCTTAACTGAATGAATGTAGATACACAAATACAAAGGCTTCCACATAGAAGTGGACGAGGAGATACAGAGTGGATGGGCACTATCTAGATAAATTTGGGGTTAAACCATTTACCCTTCAAAGTAAGATAACGCCCAGTACCTCCAGGCACTTTTATTTATTAACAACTTTGTTGAGATGCTTTATGATGCCGTAATGTTCCTTTAAAACACTTTGAAATTTATGATGCGATCAGACTTGTGTGGTAGCTAATCAACCAATTGACTAATTATTGCTGTGGCGTTCAATTTCCATCAAACAAGTCATCCAGGCCTAAGATGTCTCCAGAATCTGAGAACAAGTTGGTATTAATGATTTATCTATACACTTTAAATTCACTCACTCCTGGGTTACAAGTTTGGTAAATCCCAGGTGGTTGGGGGGAAAAAAGCTAATCCTAGTCATCAGATGCTAGTCCGCTGGCCACATTTAATAACGTGAAATAAAGTGATAAAACCTTCTGTACCAAGCGCTAACTTTAAAATGATTACAATAAGATTTCCCCAAATAACAAAATTGATATCAAGTTGCTACCACATTTCATATTGTAATCCTCCCAATAACACACCTAAATAGTACAGAATCCTGTGTATATCCCTTTCTAAGATTAAACTGTTCCATGCCGTCCCCATATTAATGCACTTTAAAGCCGTTGCGGCAGCATGGAACATCATAATGGCTTTGAGCCCTATGAGGTCGGCTGTACTCTCTTCTGCCACAATATTTATGTGTGGTCGAACAATAAGCCGAGTTATGTTAGTGGTGCACAAGTTGGTTGTGGTGTAGGCTTTGTAAACAAGGGTCCACCAATTTAAATGGCTTGATAAAGGGGGTAGTGGGTTGAACCAGACAGTCTCAACCCAGAGGGATGTGTATTTATAAGATGGAATATCCCCTCCCACAACTACAGGCTCCGCCTTCCATTTGTGGTCCGGGACAATAAGCAGTTGTGTTAGTGGTGCACAAGTCAGTTGTGGTGTGCCGAAACAGATGTGCAGGTAGGCCTGTGAAAAGAGGGCAAAAAGTCCATAGTTAAAGGGTTTAATACATGCCTAAATTACACAATGCTTTACATTATATCAGCAGTTATAACCATACCTAAAAGAGGAAATTTGTTAGTGTAAGATACTGTATAACCCCAAGATACTGGTTGATCTTTATGCCAAGTGGCGAAACAATGAAGCTAAATTTGTGACTTGGCAACCTAACTAGTTGCCAAATTGATGATGAGGCTCTACCTATGATTTCTCCCGTTGGGTAGGTTTGCCACCGAGCATTGTGGCAGGGTGTTGGCTTCTCGGTGAGGAATAAAGAGATTCAAAATAAGTTGATTGTGATAGGTGAGGCCCTAACTGTTTTTGCCAAGAGGATGGAGATGCGAGGCAGTAACTATGATTTGACCCAAGTGGCAAACTCCTCTGTAGTTAAGGATGGGAGTTGGCTTAGTGTGACAGCTATATAAAGGCACAAGAAGCCAAAAGCTACCTATGGCCACTTGGGTTACCGGAACAGCCAGACCGAACTAAAGATAAGATCTGTAGAGCGAGTGGTTGTTGTAAGAAGGGAGGTATATCGTAACGTGATGACTTGAAAAACGTAAATGAAAAACAATAAATGTGACATGATTAGACATACACCTGGCAGATAAATGCTAGCATTTGAGGGTAAGAATAAGTGAATAGAAAGTGGAGGGCAAAAGCATATATGTACAGAGGTACAAAACTGAAATCCAACCAGAGAGTGACACCAAATAACTTTGTGTTAATAGTTAAGAACTATGACTCCAACCCGAATAAAAATGCAACCGAGATTGCCAGTAAGGTAGGTTAAGTAAGTGCAATGAGCCCAGAACACAAAATATCTGTTCCCAAAGGAAATTGAACAGTATAATAATGACCCAGTTGACACATGCAAAAGTAGCCCCAGATATGCAATGGCCAGTATGAAGTATACCTGGTGAGACTTGACCTACTGATATGCTCCTAGTGTGTATTGATACGTATTATAGGCCATAAAGGAAGTGGTCATTATAATTGAACAACATGACCTCTGTGAAGTATATGTCAAGAGGTAAGGGTACAAATCACAAATTATCGAGTTAAGGGCCTTATGTTAACGTATGGAGTGAGGGTTGTGTGTAGAGGTATCATAGCAGAAGGCAGAGTGTTCAATACCAGTACTGAGCTGCTGGGTGAAGAAATAGATTATGTGGTGTCTCGAAGTAGGTTACTTGAGACAGAACGTTGCTAATACTGTGCAAAAATGAAGACACGATATGTAAAGAAAGGATAAAATGTATAGAATAATGTATCAGGGAGTGTTTCCGGCTGAGTTAGGACCCGTGTAGGACTAGTGAGACTAAGTGATATAATGAAATGTTGTAAGAAAGAGTCGTGTGTGTATATATGTATATACACACCCCATGAAGCAAGAAGGCCCCTCCCAAATGAAGGGCTGAATTGTTCATATTGGGCTCCCCACGGAGGACCTTGTGATGAGTGGGAATGTATTAAAGGCCTAGTACGGCTGCGTGTGAACGCATTGGACCTGAAACAAGACCAGGATAACATTATTTACTCACTACCTTTTGCTATATGTGAGCAGTCTCAATGTGAGACCTATGAAGAAAATAATGTATCAAAATAGGTACAGGTGAACCGAAGTGCTTAATGTGATGTACAAAATTAGGTATTTCAGTTACCTCATGAGATTGGCCAAATTATTGTCTTTAGGATAGGTATATTGTCGATGGCATCTAGTATGATTGAGTAGTATGCAACCCCTGTAAGATAGATGTAATGTAAATTAAATGCCTAAATGAGGTGCAGAATTAGGAATGTGGCAGGTTCTGGAGCGGGGCTGCATTTTTCAAGGCAGAGGTGAGGGTAGTGTTATATGTGGCGGTGGCCAGTGAGGGACAGGAGAGGGAAGGGATAGATAGGAGTTGTGAATCAATATCACCTGACAGCTGCTGGAGGTCAATAGAATTAAGGTTCCTCCTGAGTTGAGAGGGCTTAGGCTGACGTTGTTGGGCGAGAGGGTACTTGAGAGCAAACTGTAAGAGGCGGTGATCAGAAAGAGGAAATGGATTGTTGCAGATATTAGACATGCATAAGAGAAAATGAGGTTGAGGGTATTTCCAGCTACATGGGTGGGATAATTAGCCCACTGGGATGGGGTTTATTTAGGTGAATGAAGTGATTTTATTCATTACAGTTTGAGACAAACTGTAGTCAAAATAGCTTTGAGTGCTGTGAGTCCCAGCAGTAAGCGGTCGTACACTAAACCTCCATGTATGTTTGTAATGCCTAGTTATGATCTTTTCCTTTTCTTGGGACGAAAAACCTATTTTTTTTTTTATATATATATATATATATATAATTAGATTCGATTTTAGTGACAGCTGAGCCTGTGTACAAATAGGTTTACATGCAAAAGTATTTTTATTTTTTATTTTTTTTTTTACTTGTTTTTGGTTTTTCATCTTAATTCTGTTCTGTGCTGGTTTGTTATAATTCTCTGAACTGTGGCCTTCTTTCTTTTTTCTCGCAGCAGGTTCCAAAGCTGGACAAGGTTTATTTTACTACTACTGTCCCACTTACTGGAAGTACTGGTAAGTGGTTAAATTAGTGTACACTCAAACCATACTTTTATTCCTGGATAACTGTAGTCGTGTTGCTTTATCAAGAACAGTCTTCCATCTTACAGCACTCTCTCTGTTATCTGTGGGTTTTGAACATCAAGTATATGTACAAAGGCATGCGCAGCCTATTGCATTAGGGTGTGCACCCTAAAGCACAAGCACAAGCACTTGCCGCGTGTGTGTGTGTGTGTGTGTGTGTGTGTGTGTGTGTGTATATATATATATATATATATATATATATATATATATATATATATATATATATATATATATATATATATATATATATATATATATATATATATATATATATATATATATATATATTATGTATGTATATACATATATACACGCGGCTTGTGCTTTAGGGTGCCTGTGTGTGTGTGTGTGTATGTGTGTGTATGTATGTATGTATATATTATTATTGCAATTTATAAAGCGCACACAGATTCCGCAGCGCTGTACAATTAGTTGAGAAACGTACAATATACACAAACAAATACAAGAGGTAAGAGAGCCCTGCCCGTAAGCTGATATCTAGCCATTGGAGCTCTTTTATACAAAGTGCTTAGCTAGATGGCCCTTGAGCTTACAATCTAAAGGATACCAGGGGGATTTGAGACAAAAGGTAGCAGGGGAAGTTTGGAGGTGATGGCTGAAAGAGTTAACAGAGAAGCAGCTATTGGTAAGATGTTAGGGGAATGAACAGGTAATTGGGTGAGAATCTCGAACAGCTGGAGGAGCATGCTATATATTTAAGGGGAGCCTGGGTGGGTGGGAAGTGGGGAGAAAAAATGCAGTCTTCACTGAGTTGATTGTGAAGTGAGGCCTGAGGAATAGGGATAGAACAGTCAATGAAGGTATTTACGACTGGGGAGGGGAAAAGGAGAGTGGGGGAGGAGGGGGTGGGGGCAGAGTAGACATGTGTTATAGACTATTGAAAAGTTTAGCAATCAAATTCTATCACCCAAAATATTAATAACTGTCTACATGAAATATTGGTCACAAACATTAAATGACAGTGGTACACACTGCATGCACATAACATTACAGTGGCAAACTACAGGTATCAATTGTAACAACTCTATAGTAACACATGAGAATTTTGTAGCAATCCAGTAATACGGGAGGTGGAGTATCTTCCAAGCTTCAGTCAGTACCTGAGAGTGATGGGTGTTTCTGCAGGATGGTAAATGCCGTCTTCACTGAGTTGATTGTGAAGTGAGGCCTGAGAGTGATGGGTGTTTCTGCAGGATGGTAAATGCAGTATGTGTGTATGTATGTATGTATGTGTATATATATATATGTGTGTGTGTGTGTGTGTATATATATGTGTGTGTGTGCTGATTGTGGGGGTACATTACTTAATGTCCCCCCTCCCTTCTTACCTTAGGGAGGGGGGATTCTTGTTAATGCTGCTTTCCCTGATGGTCCAGTGGAGTGTGAACTCTAGCCCCTGTGGGGATAGAGTCCACTCTCGCGAGATCTGAGCGTTGCTGCGGCAACGCTCCGATGTCGCGAGAGGAACCCGGCGGAGCTGCCGGCAATAGCTCCCCAGGTCCTCTCCTGCCTCCCTCCCTCCCTGCCTGTGGGTGGGTGGGGAGGGAGGCTGAGAGCAGAGCCGGCACTCGGATAGCGCCGGCTCTGCATGAGCCAACAGGGGAGATCCTGAGATCTCCCCTGCCGGTCTCAATACGTAGGCATGCCGCGGGGATGTATATGTATCAATTGCCTGCATATTCTTTTAATAAGTGCATGTTTCTAACAGTGCAACTTTAATGCATTGATGTCAGACCATTCTAACTAAAAATTCTACATCTCTGTTTCAGGTAACAATATGCAGCAAATTGGCCTGAGCCTTCCTGTTATTATTATAAAGCAAGAAGAATCCTGTCAGTGTCAGTGTGCGTGTAGAGACTCTGCTAAAGAGAATGCTTCTAAGCGTAAAGAGTGTGCACCGCCATAGCAAGCTACTGATCCAACACGTCCACCTGTGGCATAGCCAACCCCTCCCACCACAATTCCTTTGCCTTCATCCCTATGTGTAGGCAGTGGCAGTCGCCTACTGAACCCCAGAGACTCTGCACCCTGACATCTCTGACTTTATTTCTCTCCAGAGTATAACCTGGAAGGGTTATTGAAGTGTTCATTCTCAATATTAACAAAACTGACACTTTACCTCTTGCATATATATATATATTTTTTATTTCCAGTAGATCATCAGAACTTATTTTGTCCTAAATCTGCAATGGAAGGAACTGTACACGTATTGTCCTTCTGGCACTGAAAACCTAGAGAAGAGAACCATTAACCTTTTTATGCACTATATGTCACTTTGTTTGTGAAGTTGGATTTCTAGAAAAGAAAATGTATATTAACAGATGTGTCCCAGAAGGTTTTGCTTCTCTTTCACGTATCATCGCTGTAGAGCCTGTTAAAGCAAACTGTTAACCTGGTCCAGCAACAATAAATATTTTGCTATTTTATGCTGGTTCTCCTATATCAAGGATGTATAACCCTGACATTCCTGCTGTTGGATGCAGCTTCTAGTTGGCAGATGGGAATTTACTCCATGAACAGCAGAAGTGCCAAGGCTTGTACTCGGACTTATAGGAAGTCTGGCAACATGGGCCTGCATTATTTATAGTTCTTTAACCTTTCTCAGTGTCTAGCTTATTTGCAGTTTAATCACAGTTCTAATATAAGTTTTAAAGGGAATTTAACATAACATACCTTTAAAATATTCTGCATCTCGCTCTGAATCTGAAGATATGTTTACTACAGGAAACTGATCCAACACGTCCACCTGTGGCATAGCCAACCCCTCCCACCACAATTCCTTTGCCTTCATCCCTATGTGTAGGCAGTGGCAGTCGCCTACTGAACCCCAGAGACTCTGCACCCTGACATCTCTGACTTTATTTCTCTCCAGAGTATAACCTGGAAGGGTTATTGAAGTGTTCATTCTCAATATTAACAAAACTGACACTTTACCTCTTGCATATATATATATATATTTTTTATTTCCAGTAGATCATCAGAACTTATTTTGTCCTAAATCTGCAATGGAAGGAACTGTACACGTATTGTCCTTCTGGCACTGAAAACCTAGAGAAGAGAACCATTAACCTTTTTATGCACTATATGTCACTTTGTTTGTGAAGTTGGATTTCTAGAAAAGAAAATGTATATTAACAGATGTGTCCCAGAAGGTTTTGCTTCTCTTTCACGTATCATCGCTGTAGAGCCTGTTAAAGCAAACTGTTAACCTGGTCCAGCAACAATAAATATTTTGCTATTTTATGCTGGTTCTCCTATATCAAGGATGTATAACCCTGACATTCCTGCTGTTGGATGCAGCTTCTAGTTGGCAGATGGGAATTTACTCCATGAACAGCAGAAGTGCCAAGGCTTGTACTCGGACTTATAGGAAGTCTGGCAACATGGGCCTGCATTATTTATAGTTCTTTACCCTTTCTCAGTGTCTAGCTTATTTGCAGTTTAATCACAGTTCTAATATAAGTTTTAAAGGGAATTTAACATAACATACCTTTAAAATATTCTGCATCTCGCTCTGAATCTGAAGATATGTTTACTACAGGAAACCTATTGCCAGTTCAGCATTTTATTTTTTCCCTCTCTATAAGAGCTTATAAGTGATCCTCCATGACCTCTTTTACTTTCTATTTTCTAATGTTGAGCATTAGCCTCCTAAACCTCCACTTTCTCCATATCTGACAATTTAGATGTATAATTTCAAGTGTAAGATGTATTTGTATTACAAACTCTTCTGAAAAAAGTAATATAAAAGGTAGTAATTACATTGGAATTTTATATATGTTTGTTTAAAAGAACAAGTTTTAGATTACCGCATCGCAAAAATAAATTTTGTAGGCAATGGTCGGTGCACAGAATCTGGAAAAAATATATATTTCCACTATAGGTGATAATTCCGCTCTGCAGATATCCACCATGCCTCTATGGTAGATATATGCATCATTATCATCCAGGGATTCCTGTTGAACAACTATAAGAATGTATCAAATAAAATGGTCAGTAGCTTAAAGTCTCAGTGGTTTATAGGCTAAAATTTGTAATGTTCAGTTTACACTGACCATCAATGAACTTTTGTAGAGACTTTTATATATAAAGCAGACATTTTCTGCTTAACACAGGCATACTTTACATTTGTTTAATGTTGTAAGGTTTTATCATTCGTTTTAACACTTGTATTTATTATTTACGAGAGACGAAAACAAAGTCCTTGCAGAAACGTTCCATCCGCATCCTTATTAAAGAAACTCGCACGGAGTTAAATGTTCCCATTGTAAGAGCAGGAACTGCTGGTATTAGCATACCTGTATTTTGTTGTTATCCATGAACTGGTCCAAGCCACAGTATGCAAATAACACTGTTTAATTGTTCCTATTCACATATCACTGGGTTGTGATTGTAAATCGCATGGTGTCATTGGAGCCCTGTAATCTGGTTGTACTTGCTATATATGTGTAGCAATTATTTTACTTAATTTGCAAGCTCAATGTGGCACCTCCATTATTTTTAATTTCATCATTTTGAATGTATGAATTGGCTTTTAAACTAGTGGCCATCCATGCTGTCATAATAATTTTGACCTTTAAAAGCTGATTTTACAATGCAATATCTTACTTATTTTGCATTAGGCAATAGGTAGGATGTCCCATGATAGAATAGTCTTTTGAACCTAGCTTTGTATGGGGGCATAAGCCACTAGTTTTTTGGTTTTTTTTTATCCAGTGATTGTTCAATATAAACATTTTGGTGAATGTTTTACTTCCTGCTGACAATACATTGTTGAAATTTATATATTGCAGAGCAATAATTTGTGGAGAAAAGTATGTTAATTGTAAGGGTTGGCCAGAAACCCCCTATTTGTGACTCAGGCAACTTAGTTCTGTAGAAATATCATCCATTTCTTTTCTGTTCCATACTGGTTTGTATTAACTTTATCTGATACTTTTTGTTGTAAATATTGCCCTCAAAATTAAACATGCTGCAGTGTAAATTAAAACAGTAGAGCACCGCAGAAGCTCCTATTTGAATACTAAAGAGCTTGTTGTGTTAACTTCTTGTGCCTATTTTACTAAAAAATGGTTATAAAATCTGGGAAAAGCAACGATCAGTATCCCAACATGCCTCTGCTTATATTTCATGAAAACATAAGTGGCTTAGTGCTACAAAGCACATAATATCAGGGGCATTTTTTTAAAATATTTAAACTTTAAGTGTTTTTTTTTTTTTTTTAAAGGTAAGTGTAGAGTCTCGAAGGTTACACAGCATCGCAATATTAATGCAGCAGTGCATGATGAGAAACCGTTTTATACATATTAGCACCACATAAAACTCTACACAGAGACAGTGTTTTACGTCATCAAATCACTTGTTGAAAACATTTTTGTTTCCCTTTATTTTAGACTTCACAGTTTTTAAAATAACCTGCCTACTCATACAACCACTTTTCTTTGCACTACACTAGGAAACTGGTATAACTGTTAGCTAGACTAGTATAAGGTACAGAATTGCTTCAAACAACTAAATCAATAACTAAAAAGGTTAAAAAAAATGTTAAATGTGCAATTATGTATAATTATTTTTAAAATGTGCTCAAATTCCTTTTAATCTACGCCTTAACATATCGAACTGTATGGGATTGACCTGAAGAATCATATTAAATGAATAAGACTCCACAGGTGCAGCCCAGATGGATTGATTTATTCAGACATAGATTAAAAGGAATTTGATATCGTTTGGACACTTGTGTTGCACATGCAGGTTTGTTGGTTTGGTTTTTATTTATTTTTATTTTTTATACTGGCTCTCAATAACTTAGTTAAAAGTATAGTGATTTTTTAAAAAATTTTTTTATTTTTTTTAATTCTGTTTAGTGTACTCTTTCTCTGACAAATTAAACGGCAATAACAAGTTTTAAAATAGGAAGTACTGTGGGGGAAAGGGGTAGTCCATGGCGTTACAGATATACTTTCCTTTTAAAGGGCCAAAAACATTCCTATCAGTTGTCATAATCAGGTCTTTGAAAAGGGTAATGCCAACTTAGAGAAAGCAACTTATCAGCAGTTAGAAATTGCTAAATGGGTTTCAGATTCCAGTATTTTGTGTGATAATTCCAAATACCAGGTGCCAGGACAAAATTCCTAGTCGCCATGGGGACCTGGCACCTGAGATTTGTTGAGCCCTGGGTCATGACACTAAATATTTAAATCAGACCCCTATTTAGCTATAGCAATTTGATGTCCTGTTTTCAAAGACCTGATTATTGGGTGTTTGTGAACCCATTTACCATTGTACTGATGCCTACCGGTGCAGTGGTGGAACTGCAGGGGTCGCTGTGTTCGGCCTTTCATGGAGGGTCCAAGAGCTGACTGACTGTCAATCATTGACCCCGATGGAGGGAGCTGTGGTCTATGCTAAAAAATATATACATGCCAGTCAGTTTTTTTTTTTTTTTTTTTCAAGAAAACATATATACATATGAGAGAGAGGTGTGTAGTGGATGCAGTGAGAGTATTTGATTAGTAAATGCAGTGTGTTTGTGTGTAAATGTCTCTTAGTGCGTCCCGCGTCCCCCCCTCATCATTCGCCTGTTCCTCTCTCTTTTTTAGTGGTGTTCCCCCTACCCCAGTGTTCCTTTTCCCTTCCCTCACATGTACCTTAGTATCCTCCCTTAATGTTCCTCCCCCCCGCGAAACATAGAATGTGACGGCAGATAAGGACCATTCGGCCCATCTAGTCTGCCCAATATTTCAAAATACTTTTAATTTGTCCCTGGCCTTATCTTAAGTCTAGGATTGCGTTATGCCTGTCCCACGCATGCTTAAACTCCCTCACTTTGTTAACATCTACCACTTCAGCTGGAAGGCTATTCCATGCATCCACTACCCTCTCAGTAAAGTAATACTTCCTGAAATTATTTTTAAACCTTTGCCCCTCTAATTTAAGACTGTCCTCTTGTTGTGGTAGTCCCATAGTGTTCTTTATCCCCCTCTCCCCCATAGTGTTCCTTACCACCCCCCCTTCCCCATAGTGTTCCTTACCACCCTCTGTCCAATAGTCTTCTACCACCCCCGTCCCACAGTAATCCCTAACACCCCATCCCTTAGTGCCCCTCTCTCTCCTCCTTGGTTCTTACTTCCTGGTAGCGTGGCTGGGCAGAGCAGTGCGCACCACGGTACAGGAGCTTGTCTGTCTTCTGTACCTGGTTGGACTGACAGGAAGTGCTCTCTCAATAGCGCTCTGCCGCGCTACACTGAGTGACTGGCAGGAGGGAGTGCTGTGCGCCTACCTCCCGCCGGTCACTCCGATCTAGCTCCCTCCCTGAGATGGTGTGCCCTAAGGCTTCCGCTTGTGCCGCCTTATGGACGCACCGGCCCACTATTCATTATCGGTATTGCTGGTCATGATTGGCGGATACTTATATAATAAATTTTGGCAAAACTCCAACCTGGTATCGTTAAATGCAGCGCAAGGGAGCAAAGACAGAAATAGTTTGAAGGTCACAGGATCAGAGCAGTTCCACTGGACCCCAGGGAAAGGACCCAATCCAGCTCTCCCAAAGGTAGGGAGGCTGGGTGGATGTAAATAAAATAAACTAATAATTTGTCTCTTACACTATCTGTAGGTCACTGAGTGATATCTGTATGGTTAGCCCTACTAAGTTCTATGCTTTAAGACATTATAGTGGTAAATAAGGGAACCACCAGCGGTTACAATGGTGTGCCCTAAGGCTTCCGCTTGTGCCGCCTTATGGACGCACCGGCCCACTATTCATTATCGGTATTGCTGGTCATGATTGGCGGATACTTATATAATAATTTCGGCAAAACTCCAACCTGGTATCGTTAAATGCAGCGCAAGGGAGCAAAGAAGAAATAGTTTGAAGGTCACAGGATCAGAGCAGTTCCACTGGACCCCAGGGAAAGGACCCAATCCAGCTCTCCCAAAGGTAGGGAGGCTGGGTGGATGTAAATAAAATAAACTAATAATTTGTAAGAGTTTGCATCTGTAGGTCAATGAGTGCCTGTCAGATTGTGTCAAATCAAAGTGTGTCTGTTAGTGAGTATTGGTGCTTTAATTCTAAAAATATAAGGAATGTTTATGGCCACAAAAAGCCAAGGGAAAGAAACTGGTACATTGCATAAAACATCTGGTGTGTCACATTAGAATAAATGTATTACCTGCACATGGTTCTAGTTATCTTTATCATCTTTATGTATACGTTTAAGGGAACACCATAGTGTCAGGAATACAAACTAGTATTCCTAATCCTATAGTGTTAAACTAGTTAGGTGATTGTCCCCTCTCAGATCACTTGGGAAAGATGTTTTTACTCTATACTTTTTTTTTTTTTTGCCAGAGCCAATCGTTATTATCTCAGAGATGAACCAATGAATTTCTATGGGGAAAATTTAGCACCTTCATGCAGAGTATGGAGACCATAAACATAGGTGCTGCACTAGAGTAAAACGTATCTCTAGTGGCCCGCTAGTGACTGCCACTAGAGGTGTTGCTAGGCAGCTATGTAAACACTAGAACAAAGAACATAAGTGGAGCTTTATAATACCTGGGATACTTGAATATATGGCAGATGTGTTCAATGATCCTTTACAATAATCTGTAAATAATATATAACATACACATAGTGCAGATAGTATGGACTGTATATAAATGTGAATAGGAAAAAAAGGTGGTAATTCACAACTCACAAGAGTAGAGCCAATAGGTCACCTGGCTCTAGTGTGTAGTGATCTTATTAGGGGAGATCAACCACCCACTAAACATATATCCTTCTGGTTTCTTCCTCCTTTGTAAATATGAAGCAGACAGGAAGGTCCCAATGGTGAAAGGATCCAAAATTTATTAATAAACAAAATAACACATATATAAGCCCATATATTTTATTATAAGTCCACAATAATTAAAAATAAAGTCCAAAACGCGTTTCGCCAACAACCTGGCTTCCTCAGTTGGTTGAAAAGTGGTCCGGCTTCTTTTGGATGGATTTATACCCCCATTGATTTTATTGCGTCCATGTGACCGGAAGTAATTGTCATGGAACGCACAATCCGTCCGGTCATGTGTCCCAATACTCGCGAACCCGGAAGTGCAGTGCCCCTGCAATCATGTGGCTTAACTTCCTGTCCTGTGGACGCATTCATGCGTTCCTTTTCCCTTTTAAGGTCGTTATAGGTGTTATAACACTCTATGTTATATCATTGCAGGTCATACACAATCCCTCAAAGAAAAAAGAAATAATAAACAGCAGCAGAAGTCCAATTTATCCAAAATTTCAATAAACCAAAGACAATCTTTAAAATTATGGGCAAACTATAAAGTGATCGTGAACTAAACATATATATTTTATCCAAAGTATACTAATATTTCCATAATTTGTATATGATACTGTACATATATATATATATATATATATATATATATATATATATTTCCATGATGTGTATATAACACTAAATGTACATATGTAAATATAGAAAAGGTATAATTCTTAAATGTGACAATACATAAAATATACTAAATATATATTAGAGGGGAAGAAAATTAACCATATAAAAATAGGTCTTATTACTTATATGATAGAATATAAAAAATTTGAATAAAAATCTATAAAAAATATGTAAAATTTTATAAATATTCATATATAAAAATCTATAAAAATATATAATTGATTATATAAAATGGCACAATTCAAAATCTATATTTAAGCCGTGAGGTGCTAAAGTATTTAAGTTAAAAATAAGTTTCATTTCTTCGATTACATTTTTTTTTTTTTAGTAAAATCTCCTCCCCTCCAATTTCTCTTAACCATTTTCAGTGCACAGAATGAGAGGTCTTTTGGATCTTGGTTGTGGAAATGTTTGAAATGATGTGAAACACTGTGTTTCTATTCCCTTTTTAATATTTCTTACATGTTCTGATGCTCTAACGTGTAGGCATCTTATTGTTCTCCCTATATATAGTAAGTCACATGGACATTTTAATAAATACATTATATTTTTAGAAAAGCACGTAAGCTGGTCTCTTATTTCAAAAACTTTTTTTTGTAAATTCTTTAATATTCTTTATATTTCTTTTCTTACTATTTGTTTCCCTACATGCTGTGCATGTTCCACATCCATAAAAACCTTCATTCTTAATTAAAAAATTATTTTGATTTGATGAGTCTTTGTAATTACTTTTCACTAAAACATTTCTAATATTATTACACCCTCTATGTACTATTTGAGGTCTTAAAGGAAGAATGTTTTTTAAAATGGGATCATCATGTAAAAGGTGCCAATATTTGTTAATGGCATGTCACACTTGTTTATTTTTAGCAGAAAAATTACAAATAAATGGGGTATCTTTATTTTTATTTTTATTCTCCTTAATTTTCGTTTTATACTTCAGTAATCCTTTTCGCTCCATCTTTTTCACTTCATCCAGATTTAAATCTAGATCACTTTTTTTTAATAACCTTTTTCCAGAAACTGTTCTTTGATCACTACAGTTTGTGTATTAAAATCTTTATCTTGTGTACAATTTCTTCGTAATCTCATGAATTGACTCTTGGGGCCATTTTTAAGCCATGGGTTGTAGTGGCAACTTTTGAGGTCTATGTAACCATTGCAATCTACTTCTTTAAAACAATTCTTAGTTTGAATGTCCCCATCCTCCACAAAGATGGTGAGATCTAAAAAAATTATCTCTTGTCTACTTGAAGTAGAGGTAAGAATGATTCCCCAATCATTAGAATTTAAAAAACTATTATTTCCGGTCACATGGACGCAATAAATCAATCAATGGGGGTATAAATCCATCCAAAAGAAGCCGGACAACTTTTCAACCAACTGAGGAAGCCAGGGTTTTGGACTTTATTTTTAATTATTGTGGACTTATATAAGCCCATATATTTTATGTGTTATTTTGTTTATTAATAAATGTTGGATCCTTTCACCATTGGGACCTTCCTGTCTGCTTCATATTTACAAAGGAGGAAGAAACCAGAAGGATATACGTTTAGTGGGTGGTTGATCTCCCCTAATAAGATCACAGAGCACTACACACTAGAGCCAGGTGACCTATTGGCTCTACTCTTGTGAGTTGTGAATTACCACCTTTTTTTCCTATTCACATTTATATACAGTCCATACTATCTGCACTATGTGTATGTTATATATTATTTACAGATTATTGTAAAGGATCATTGAACACATCTGCCATATATTCAAGTATCCCAGGTATTATAAAGCTCCACTTATATTCTTTGTTCTAGACTATTGGTGTTTGTGAAGGTTAAGGGGATCCTCCACATAAGTGTTGAGCTTAATTTGTATTGTTTGTGTGTACACCCCTTGTTTGTTTGATAGCTATGTAAACACTGCTTATTATCTAATTAGGCAATGCTCACATTGAAAAGGGACAGGCTGTAGACACCAGCAACTCAACATTATAGTGGTTCTGGTGTCCATAGTCCCTTTCAGAGCTGTTTAAAAAAAAAAAAAAATAAAAATAAACGGGCTCCTAGATTCAAAGTAAATGTGCCAAGCCCTGTGATAAACAGTTTAAAATATGGCAATAAAAATATTTTTTTCCCTCCTTTTTAGTGAATACTGCTTACATACTTACCTGGTCCTCTCTCATTCACTGAACTTATGTCTAGAGGAGAATAGGAGGTAAGGACTTTTTGCAGTATTTCTTTGAGAGATACAGTTTAATGTATTTTGACTTTAATGTATTTCCTGGTGGGCTCCCCCTGTCTGGGGCTGCAGCGCTGGGAGAGTGGCTCTTGAGCCGCCCCCAGCACTGGGCCGATCCTCAAGGTGCCTGAAGGTGGGGCGCTGAGAGGAGCCCGGTCATGGGGAAGGCAGTAGGTGGCCATTTGGCCACAACAGGGTGCCCCCGAACCTGTATTAGGTAAGGCAGAGCAGGAACCTGCTTACCTTGATGGCAGGTGCCTGCTCTGCCACTAAATGCCGGTGAGAGGGAGGAGGAGAGTGGATGGAGCTTGCAGGCGGCGAGGGAGGCTGTTCTAGCAGCTCCTCGCGCACCCTCTGTGATGCTGGGAGCCGGAATACTAAACAGCGCGCCTGGAGGAGTGAGGAGCTGCTTCACACTGGACCCCAGGGAGGTGAGTGTTTGATTGTCAGTGAGTGAGTGTGTGTGTGTGTCTATCAGTGAGTGACTGTATGTATGTCAGTGAGTGAGTGTGGGTCTATCAGTGAGTCTGTGTGTGTCTGTCAGTGAGTGAGTGGCAAAATGGATCTTTGCCTAGGGCGGCAGAAATCCTTGCACCGGCCCTGGACCCAATTTTAAATTGCTCTAAAGCAGTTTAACTCTGAATGGAGAGACAGTGCCAGAAGACTCCAGGCATTGTAACCAATTCAAAGAGATGAAGTGGTTATAGTGACTACAGTGCAGTGTTAATTTCGTCAACTAACTATTTTAGTCGACAAAAAAAAAATGCCTTAAGGGAGCTATTATACTCACCAGAACAACTACATTAAGCTGTAGTTGTTCTGGTGACTATAGTGTCCCTTTAATACTAGTTATGTCTTGCACCTTCATATCTCTATGGATCCTTTCTAGTCACCTCCCTGACAATACTTTCTGTTTAGGGCTATATGGTCCATTTGATTGAGAGGTTCTGGTGGGGATGGTGGTGGCAATCTGGGCACTGGGTTCTCAGTGCCAGGATTGCCACCACAACCACTTACACATCTGTAGGGCTCCCAATGCCCAGACTGCCACCACATAGGGCTGCCACCACAACCACTATTGGGCTCCAAATGCCCAGACTGCCACCACAACCACTTACACATCTATAGGGCTTTCAGTGTACAGACTGCCACCACAACCACTATTGGGCTCCAAATGCCCAGACTGCCACCACAACCACTTACACATCTATAGGGCTCCCAGTGCCCGGACTGCCACCACAACCACTTGCACATCTATTGGGCTCCCAGAGCCCAGACTGCCACCACAACCACTTACACATCTATAGGGCTCCCAGTGCTAGAAATGATCTTATTAGTCAAGATTCCTGTCATCATTCGTGTAATTTTCCCTCCCTCTCTGTTTTGCCACTTTTAAGAAATCCAAAGCACTTCGGAACTTAGTAAGCATCTGAAAGTCCGAATTTCACGAAATTCGGCCGAATCTACATTCGGAACGAAACGAATTGCACATATCTAGCCATAAGATCATAATCCCAATTTGTATGGATCTGTTGTAATAGCATATTTCTTGAGGGGAGCGGCTGGAGATTTCCATGATCTACCGATGAGTGTATTAGTGGCTATCAGTGTGTGGGGGAAAAAAAGGTTTTTTTTGGTCTATTTCTGATATATTCTCAGGCCTTATAAACAGAAAATTCAGTTCAGGTGTTAGTTGTGGGAGCGTAGGTAGTAATTGAGTGTGTAGTTCAACCACTTTCCTGTAAAGGGGGTGGGTGGGTATAACGCGGCACGTCCACCATATGTGGTGTATTGTGCCTAATTCAGATTTATATCTCCACCATTTATTGGACATGTTGGGGTACATATGTGCTAACTTTGCTGGCACCAAGTACCACTGATACTGTATTTTACGTATGAGTTCAAGGTGTGTGGTGCACACTGTTACCTTTGTGTATTGTAAATGCCCAATTCCACTGTTTTGCGGGGAAAGTGGAGCCAAGGTCTTCATGCCAAGATTGCATGAATTTTTTGGTTTCGCTGCTCTACCCACAAGTAGCAGTGCGTATGTAATTGAAAAGACTTTCTTTTGTGGGGTCCCTGTTAGGCACAGTAAATCATATTTAGTGAGGGTGGGTGTTGTAAATTGGCGTGTTGTCGACTGCAGGAGGGACTTGAGCTGCAAATAGGAAAAAATAGCTCTCTGCGTGAGATTGAATTGGGTCTGTATTCAGGAAATTGTTTCAGGGTAGTCCCATTGTAGAGGTGGTGTATGTGTGTGCGCATCCCCCGGCAGTCCATATGGAACAATCAAAGGTCGGGTCCCCCAAATATACACTGTATAATGACGTAGCCAACGAGATCTTGTTAGGTCTGCAGATATAGTTGTGGTATACGTCCCAGGTGTTCAGCAGCAATTTAGTTATTTCGAGCATGGATGGTGGCTCAGGTTTCAGTCATTTAGGTGTCCAAAATAGGTAGTGTATCCCCAATCTGCAAGACCAGTAGGATTCTACCGCGACTCATTGGGGTGCGTTCACAGCCTTATATAATTTATAAAGTTGAAAAAACAAAAAATCTAGAAATCATGTGCTCTAAATGTGAGTGTATAAGATAAAACTCAACTTTTAATCAATCTCTTGAATATCATGAAAATATGAGAGTAACAAAAATGAATAAAAACAGCCAAATGGAAATTACAGTCCTCTAAAATAAAAGGGGAAAAACTTGGTTTAACAACAGGAATTGTCACGCCACCTGCCGGGTCCGCTCCTCTCAGAGAGCGGCATGGGTCCTGGGGGGCGCGCATTGTTGCGACGGCATTCCCACATGCTAAGGGGAATGCCGCCGGTCTCTTACCTGTCCGGTCGCGCACGCCAGATCCACTCATAACCGGAAGCTGTCTGGAACAGCGGGCAAGTTTCAGTCCGGCGGCATTCCCGTGTGGTCATGGGAATGCCGCCCATCACCCACCTCTGGTGGTGGCTCCTTCACCTCTCACAGCGGCCGGGTCTGTCTATTAGAGATGCCGGCCGCTGCAGCTTTGAAGGTTTTAAGGGTTTTTCTATTTAACCCTTAAAGTGCCAGATCATTTTTAACCATGTAGGTGTATCACACACAGACCCATGATCACATGCTTCCCTGCAGCCAATCAAGGATGACCTTAGACTATATAAACCTGTTTTGTCCATTTCTCTGTGCCCTGTCGTGGTTTCCATTGTGGTTATCCGAAAGCGCGTTCCTTGTATTGATTCTTGTGTATTTGACCTTGGCTTCCCTTTTGACTATCCGATCTCTGTATTCCTTGACCTTGTTC